GAGAGAGAGAGAGAGAGAGAGAGAGAGAGAGAGAGAGAGAGAGAGAGAGAGAGAGAGATAGATACGTAACGTTCCGAGGCTTAGCACTAGATTGCCTACTATTTAGAATTTTTAGGCCCGCTATTTATTAATCCGCTTCTTAGCCTCTTACTCTTATTCTTATTATCTTGTCCGCTAGGGCTCGATACTAGTATTCGCTATATTTAATTCCCTTTTAAGCTTCTTATTGTTACTTTGTGTATTAGCCTTTAATATATATATATATATAAAGGTTAGCAATCCTTCTATTTGTTGAATCTAATTTATTCGTAAGTATCTTAATTTATTTCTATTATTGTCTTATATATTAGGGTTTTTATAAACAGCAGGAGCTTAAATTATAAACGGCCGGAGGCCTACGCAAAGATTGAAGCCTAAGCTATAGACCTAAGCATTCTAATATTCTTACCTACCTACCTACCTACCTACCTACCTACCTACCTACCTACCTACCTACCTACCTGCCTGCCTGCCTGCCTGCCTGCCTGCCTACCTGCCTGCCTGCCTGCCTACCTACTAGAGAGACGAGACAAGACGCGGGGAGAGACGAGGACGTAGAGAGAGATAAGGACGTAGAGAGAGACAAGGACGTAGAGAGACAAGACGCGGAGAGATACGATAGAGAGATATCTAGTATAGAGTAAAGCTTAGCGCAGGCCTCCCGCCGTTTACAACCTAAGCTCCCGCCGTTTATCAGAACCTATATATAGGCTATCGATCGATTTATATAGTTTAGTAATACTAGTAGGTATTTAGGTCTACTTCCTTAGTAAGCTTCTTAACCTGTTCCCTCTATAACTGTCGGTTTGTATATAGTGTATTAGTAGATTTATATAGGTCAACAATTCTAGTAGTATTAAGATTTACTTCCTTAGTAACCCTTTCTATATTATTCCTCTTTTATTCTTGTTATAACCCTATATCTTTAATACCTACGTTAAACTCTATAACGCTAGTAGCTGTTTTTTGTCTAGGGTTACGCTTAAATACTTAATCTATACTTCTTAAAACTTCTTATTACTATTTAGATTTATCTTTCAAAATTGGTTTTTCTAAGTATATAGTATCGTCGTTTTGTCGCTAAAAGTTAGGGATTATTACTATTTGCCTATTAACTATACTTTCTAGAATAGCCTTCTCTAAGTGCAGATTGTAACTCTATTAGGCTCCCTTCCTAGAGTACCTACTCTTTTATAATCTTTTACTTAAGCCCTAAGTTTCTAGCTACTAAAGTAGTATTCTTTTTATAAAATATTATATTCTCTGCTTATACTAATTCTTACTCTTACAATGTCTTAGATATCCTAGTAAGTATCTTTATAGCCTTTGCTACCCGATTATTTATAGAGATCTAGGTACCTCTAAGTTCTTTCTTTAAAGATCCAATAATATATCGAACTTAGGAATACTAGAAATTCTGTCCTATATCTTACGCCTTTGTTTCTTAGCTTTTGCTAGCGTCTCGGTATTACTTTTTTCTATAGTTCAACTCTTATTATACTAGCAAAGAAGACTAGTAGCCTTGTACTCTATACTATAATTCTAAGTAAACGTTTTCGAGTTTACTAGTACTATCGATCGCTATAGACTAGACGAGATTCGTTTACTATATTCCTAAGTCGAAGAGAGAGGCAGAGGGAGAAAGAGAGAGGTAATAAGTACCCTTTAGTTATAATACATAAATTGTATAGATAATATAAGGCAAAGATAGAGTAATTAAAGCGGGTATTAGTATCTAAGGAGGTATATACCTAATATTATACTACTTATAGATTTTGAATATCTTAGTTTGTAACTAATATTACGTATATACTGTATTATCTCTCGCTATCACTAAACTTGTCTCGACTACTATTTAAGAGTCCTATTACGGATAATAGTAATAAAGAATATAAAGACTAGCTTCTCTGAATTCGGCTATAGTAACAATGTTTTTAACTAACTTACTATATATACCTAGAAGGGCCTATTTTCTAACTATACTATAGTATATCGGATCGGACTAGTATATCCTCTATAATATTCTATACCTTTAACTTACAGAGGGCAATTTTATACGGCAGGAGCAAAAATTCTAAATAGTAGGAGACCAAATTTGCCTAAGGCAGAATATATATATTATATATACTATTCTACCTACCTAACCTTGTAGAGAACTAAAACAAGACAAGGTCCGTAGGCAATTAAGGAATATATATATATATATACTCTCTCTCCCTCTCTCTTATATACTAAAGTTAATAGCTATTCTCTTGCCTCTAGTTAGCTAATACTAGAAATAGTAGCAAAACCTATAGTATAGAGTAGTTTATAACTTTTATAAGGGGTCCTAGGTATTAAGAGTAGAGATTCAAAATAGTTAGGTATATAGTAGGTATTAGCTACCTTATATATAGAAAACACAATATTATAATATACGTTCGTAGTAAGCTTTAGATATAATTAGTGTAGAACGACCTCTAGACCTTTTATGTATAGGGGGGAGTAGAGTACTAATCAATTAGTAAAAGGTATATAGGGGGATTAAAAAACTCGGCAGCGCCTGCCGGCCCGTCCGGACGTATCCTATTAGCGCGATTTTTTAGGGTAGGGCGCGCTAAACCTACTAGACCTAATACGTTACTACCTTAAAAAAAAAGCCTGCTATAGGCAGGTAGACTACCTACCTACCTATCTGTCCCTATAGGCTACCTTGCCTAAAATTTAGAAGAGAAGGACAGAATAATCAAAGAGAAGACAAGGATAAGAAAAACAGAATAATTAAAGAGAAGAGAAGAACTAAAGAGAAGAGAAGAGAAGGATAAGGACGAGGACAAGGACGAGGAGATAGAGATAGAGATAGACATACGCGCGCTATACGCGCGCGAAAATTGAGATTAGTATATATTCTGTACTACTAACAGGTAGGCCTATAGGACATAATAGAGTATGTACTAATCTTAATTCTTATACGCGTATATACGTACGCGTATGTCTCTCGTCTCTTCTCTCTACCTCTTCTTCCTAGGCCTCTTCTTCTTCTTTCTAGGCCTCTTCTTCTTCTTTTCTAGCTTTCTCTTCTTTCTTGGCTTTCTCTTCTTTCTTGGCTTTCTCTTCTTTCTTGGCTTTCTCTTCTTTCTCCGCTTCCTCTTCTTTCTTAGCTTCCTCTTCCTCTTCCTCCTTCTCCTTCTCCTTCTCGTTGTCCTTCTCCTTATCCTCTCTTTGTTCCTCTTTACTAAATCTTAGGTAGAGTAGGTTTTTAAGGTAGTAACGTATTAGGCCTAGTAGATTTAGCGCGCCCTACCGCTAAAGATTACGCTAATTAGAGATTACGCCTTCGAGGATTTTTCTTAATAGGAAGGTAGATAGGTAGGTAGGTAGATAGGTAGATAGATAGTCTTTCTATCTAAAGTAGGCTTTTTGTTAAGATAGTAACGTATTTGGCCTATTGTACTAGTACGTCCTACTACTAAATTATACGCTAAATAGTATATATACTCTAATTCTTTTTGTGTCCTCTATATAGACTAATTAGTACTCTACTCCTTCCTTTCTCTAACCTATACTTTGCTTCGGAAGGGAATAAGCTCGTTCTATACTAATTACCTATAGTAGGCTTATTTTTAGTACAAGATAGCCTCCAAGCCTTCTAAAGTATAGTATAGGTTAGATAAAGGGAGGAGTAGAGGCCTATTAAATTAGGAATAGTATATATAGCTATAAAAATCCCTCGAAGGCGTATACTCTAATTAGCGCGATCCTTTAGAGTAGGGCGCGCTAAATCTACTATACTAAATACGTTACTACCTTAAAAAAAACTACCTATCCCTATAGGCTACTCTGCCTAAAATTTAGTAAACAAGAACAAAGAGAAGAACAAAGAGAAGAGAAGGATAAGGAGAAGGAGAAGGACAAAGAGGAAGAAGCCTAGAAAGAGGAAGAAGAGGCCTAGGAAGAAGAAGAAGAGACTTAGGAAGAAGAAGAAGAGGCCTAGAAAGAAGAGATAGAGAGAAGAGACGAGAGACAAACGTACGTATATACGCGTATATACTAAGAAAATTGGCCGATACTATACTACTAACAGGCAGGCCTATAGGACATATTTAAGATAGTAGTATATTCGGTCTAGTAGATTCAGTATGCTATACCTTAAGAACTTGAGCTAATTAGAGTATACTTCTTTAGAGGATCTCTATAGCTATATGCTATATCTATAATTTAGTAGGCCTCTATTCCTCTCTTTATGTAATCTAGGAGGTAGGCTGCGCTCCAACAAAGTCCAAGCGGCCGCTCTTGGCGCCGGCTGATCTTTTATCCGCTTCTAGTAAATGTCCTCAAGCCTCGCCTCGATTACACTAAGGTACATGTACCGCATATCCCATCAGCGTCACACGATGTAATGTCTCTGCCGGAGCACCAACAGCTCCGTCCGCTGTCCACTATCTCACACCAATCCTCCCGCAACAGCAGTGCCCATAGCACATCGCGCCGACGCAGCGAGCAGCATCTCCGCCCAGACGATGCCTTCTACACCTCTCCGCCCCGCAATCCATCTCTCCTGCGCGCCGACACCATCACTTCTCGAAATGCTCAGCGCGGCCAACAGTCGCAAAGGTCGAGTCGCGAAAAGCGTCGAGGGAGAAGCTCGTCTCGACGCCGTGCAGCTCTCGTGCCCAAGGCAACGAGCAATGGGCAGTGGAAGAAGCTGTTGTGGGTGAAGCAGTCCTATCCTGATAACTATACCGACGAGGAGACATTCCTGGATCATCTCCAGCGTAATCCAAAGCTGAGACCATATGAGTTCTGGCCGTTGGTGGCTGATAGCACCATCATTGTACAACATGTGTGTACAGTGCTGATCTTCGTGTGCTGCTTCGCGGCCATCTCGAGCAACCGCGTCAGACCAGAAAGTGTGGTGAGCCTGGCGACGGGAGGTACGGTCGTCGCTTGGGGCTTTCGCGACAAGTGGCAAAGTCGGTCCGAGGAGGACGGCGAGGACGATGGGAAGGAGGGAAGTGCAGGCGGCGTTGAAGGGGACGACGAGAAGAGCTCACGCGGGAGTGATGATTTTGCAGCCGATTACGGTATGCCGTTCAAGGAAGTTCCAGGTATTCCAATTACTGCAGCCAACACCACCAGGACACACTCGAGGAACCTTTCAAACGCTTCTATCGCAATGACTGGCGGCGTATCTGGTTCTGCTTCCCCCATAGTTCCCAACGGCGAGACTATCCCGCCACTCCCCAGCATACCCTCGTATATTCCCCCTTACAACAGCAGTAAAAACTCCATGTTCTCGCCACGTATGCAGGAACGATTGACGACAGCGAAATCGGCCATTCTCATCTATTGCTCCCTGCTCGGCCTGTCTCCCATCTTGAAGTCTCTGACGCAATCCACTTCCAGTGACTCCATCTGGGCTTTGGCATCCTGGTTGCTCATCCTCAATATCTTCACATTCGACTACGGCGCAGGTCCAGAAGCCAAATTTCCGGCCTCACTGAGCACCAATGCAGCGCTCATGGCTTCTACGGTACTCGCTTCTCGTCTACCCACCACCACTCATGTCTTCTCCTTGACCCTCTTCAGCATCGAAGTTTTTGGCCTCTTTCCGGTCTTTCGTAGACATCTGCGACATCATTCATGGACTGGTCACGTCTGGCTTACAATCTTCCTGGTTGCTGTCGCAAGCGGTGGCTTGGGTATGACGATCTCTGGCGGAGGCTATGGATGGGGTGTTTTGGGTGTTGTCCTCGGAGCTGGAGTCATGGGTCTCGGCATGGGTATGACGAGTTGGTGGCTAATCGGCCTGCAAAGATATAAAAATGAGATTTACGGGCCTTGGGATCCTGCGAGACCAATTCTTGGTGGCAGGCGAGGTTGGTCGTGATGTTGTAAAAGATCAATGATACCCCATCTCAGTCGAGAGATGAAACGCCTAGAACAATATGCTGCTGTACCAGACATTTATGAAAAGTGTCCAATCGTACTGGTTGTCTGGAGTGCTGGACAACGGCAAAAGCAGGTGCCCTGCTCGTCTGTTTCGCGTTGTCCTGGAATGGGTAAAGTCCCAGTCCACAGGAATACAATAGGTTCATGAATACTCATCTTCTCCAGAAGGAAGAATTGGCCTACCGCGGCCACGAAGTCTCGCTCGCCGCAGTGACGAGCAGGATCGAGACATTCACATCAGTACTCATCCAGCCCCAGAGCTCCGCCGTATAGGTCCCCATACGGGCAGCCCAGGAGCTGAAAGGTTAAGCAGATCGAGATAGGGTATTAATGTGCGACAAACATAAGTCGAGCTGCGTGCTCCACTGGCCGCGAGATGGATGTAAAGAAAAGTCTTATAATCCCGAGTAAGGTGAAGGACATTAACTCACAGCGCTCGCAAGGCGCTTCATTATCACCAAGTAAGCACTCCAGGGAGCTCCTAGGAGCCCCTATATAAGCAGATGTTTGCTTCACTCGAAGGGAACGTATTTAAGGTTTGCCTTGACTTCCTTTACTACCTAACTAGTTGGCAAACCAGCAGAGACTACCCTGCGGCACTTCACTTTTGCTAATTACACCCTCTTCTTCTTCTTCTCCTTCTTCTTCTTCTTCTTCTCCCTCTTCTTCTACTACTTAGCTCCACTTCAAACAACAGCATCATCGCACTCGAGAAGATGTTCCGTGCAGTGCGCGCCCCCGGCGAGCCGTCATACGCGACTTCATTGTCCGCCTTTGGCTACCACATGAACGAGAAGCGCGAGTTCGTCGACAACACCACAGGAGCCTACTTTGACTTCTTCCATTGCGATAACGACCGTGTGAACGACGGCCGTCGAGGCGCCTTCCAGCAGTGCTTGCGCACGGAGATTGCATCAGTCCTGAAGTCGGAACACGGCATTGAGGAGCTCTTCGTCGGCGGTTCAGATGGGCATGTCATCTCGTACCATCGTCCCGTTGGCCAGCATATCAGTCTTCTGGCCACTGAGCAGAGCAAACTGCGCCAGAAGCGAGATGTCATCGTCGTCGTCGGAGAGAGCAGCCAAGATTGCGGCATTTGGGCATGGCGATCGGTACAGAGGGAAGGGGGCGCGGACAAAGGCAGTCTCGCTGGACTCGTCCAGAGAATCACTCTGCGCGCAGCGACAGAGACTCGCGCAGGCAATGAGCTCGTCGAGGTATGGGTAAATGCTTCAGCTGAAGATTCATGATCTCAACTTGCTCACTTCTCTCCCAGGAACAGACTCCTGGCATCATCGTCTTGAACCCAGGACAGCTGGCATACTCTCACCAGCTGGGCAGAAACATGAGTTTGGCGTCCTGGCAGAGCCGTCTGCGTCCGACTGCCATCAGCGAGCCGTACGCCTTGGACAAGAAGTATAACTTCGTTCCAGGTAAGTACCACGACACGATGCATCTCATCTTCGAGCCTGACCACCTGATAGGCCACCAGAACTCGAGCGAGCATGTCCACACAGTCGTACGGCACGTTCTTCCACAGCTCACGGCTGGGAATGCGCGCCTGCACATTGTCGCCATTGGAGATGGCTCCACACCAACCCTCGAAGTGCTCAGTCAACAGATGGCGATGAGAGTCGGCGGTATCCCAGAGTCAATAGCCCTGATTGAAACCGGACACGAACACGAAGAGATCCTCAATGGCGATCTGAAGACTTTGCTCTCCTTGGCTGGCAAGTCCTGGGTCCAGAGCGACGAGCCTAAGGGAACCAAACTAGCCATGCCAGACGGACCACTACTAGGGATGCCAGCTCTGAGCTATGCTCCAGGAACCAATGCCAGCTCGCAAGACGTCAATGGGCACAACTTCACAATTGCAGATGATCAGGATGGGGCCGGAGCCTTCTTCACGCAGGATAGAGACCTGAACATGGTCACGGATCTGCTCGGACACCACGATGTCAATGACTCCAGCCGTGACGACCTGAGCGAGGCCAGCACCATTATCGCCGTTTCACCGGAGCTTCCCGATATCGATGACAGCAAGGACTTCTTTGAAAACAAAGAGAATATTGAGCCCCGGGACTTCGCACCACTCCACCCCAACACCGACGGCGATTCCTCCCACGTTGCGATCGAGCTCCCATTGAACCTTGCCATCAACTCTCCTCCCGCGATGGATGTCCCTCCAAACACCCCCGCCGACACGCCTCCCGCTCTCGACATGATCGTGGATGAGGTTAATGGGGAAGGGAATGATATCACAGAAGATACGCTCGCAACCACCGACTTTGATCCCGAAGTAGGAGAAGAAGAAGATATTGATGATGATGATGATGAAGGAGGAGAAGAAGACGAAGAACCATCTCCTGAACCCCCAGCGCCAGTTTCCTGCCCGACCTTCAGCGCCGGCGTATGCGATGGAGTTATCGAAACCGTTTTCCCGGCAGTTATGGACGATGTCCTCGATCATCTCTGGTTTCACATCACGCGTGTGCGAGAGCATGATACCAAGGAAGCTGCAGATGCGGCTGCAAACGGTGTCGCGTGGCCGAGAGAGGGCGAGAGGCATGATGATTAGGTGAAAAAAGGGTGTAAGGTACACAGTGTGGAGATGGATTAGTAGCTCGCTCGATGAGACTGACGCAGATGAGCCCTTCAATTATGCATGATGAAAGATAGGTTTTGGGCGGTACTTCATTATGATACTACCCATCTACTTTTTCATCTGTGATTGCCGATGGAATTTTGCCTTTCAGATTTCACCTCCTGGTGTTTTAGCGCGGAAAAGCGGTACATGTAGTCCTCTGTTGAGGTCCACCATTCTTCTACTCACATCTTTCGCACTGACGAATTATACGCTAGGGAAACGGGACGGGGACACATCTCTTTGTGAAATTACCAAGAACAAGCTACATGTAGACCGTTAACTGCAAAGCCTCGTGAAAATCGCATATATTACTCCTTCTTCATCTGATTCCGTCTGTAGTCTCTCATCATCGGCAGCAATTGGGGGAGTGCTTTCGGGATTAAGCGAGCGTCACCATCGATACTTGGTCGCACAGCTTGCAGGGAGCCATTGCAATGTCCACCCCGTCCGTCCGGTGCTGAGTTTAGCCCGATTTTGCCGGTGCCCGCGGGGGGATCTGGACCCCAGGCATATTCTCGATGTGAGACAGAGTTGTCCACATATACAACATCGCCATGCCACAGGGTGTACGTGGAAAGTGGTCCGATTTCGACTCTTGTTCAAGTCTCTCTATCTCGCTTCGAGCCGACCGACGAAAATCTCCCATGGAGATGTCCGCTGTCCGCACAGCGGAGAAGCCAAACGAGGTCTCCAAGCGACATACCACATTTGGTATGCCGGCGTGGGCAGTAAGGACAATGACTTCGCGAAGCTGTTGCGGCATCTCCCTGCCGTAAGGCAAGGGGGAATCTCGAACGGAGACACCTGAGTATGAGCGTCGAATGCGAATGACCAGACTCGCAGGTGGTGGCAAGCCGGCGCGGTCCAGGTGGTGGAGGAAAGCCCGCAGGCGGACTCCTTCGTCGAGGTTGGGTGGGGTACACACACTCGCTGGTCTCGATGGCGTCTCGAGCTGAAAGGTGTTGGATGCGAGGAACATCTGGCGGCCTTCATCGCGGGCTTGCTTGCAGGAGGCAAGAAGTCCTGGTAGGTAGCGGTATTTGTGTCTTTCCGGTGAAAACAGAGCTTTTGGAAGTTCGACTCGGACCGGCTCGGGATCGCACAGGACGAGAGACCATATGGTGTTCCGCATTTCGGCAGGGAGCGTACCGAGGAGTGAGTTTTCCATGGTGGTGGTGGTGGTGGTGGTGTTGGCGGTGATGGTGGTGGTTTTGATGCTGAAACGTGGCTCGTGAGCGGAGAGCGATGTACTGGAAGTGGCGTGATGTGGATGTGAGAGGAGATTATCAGTGTCAAAGAGTCAGATTGTCGGACTGTGCGATGTGTAGAAGTGTTAGGTAGGTTCAGCTGCGCCGCTCGGGTGTCCTTGGCATGTACCAGAGGAAGGAGGTGGGTGGTGAGGTAAAGCTTCTTATTTTGTCTTCGAGTGTAAGACGGGGACTACCCGAGGAGGTTGCAAAGCCTTTTGGGGACTCGAGTCGGACTACGAGGTCTTGAAAGAAGTGAGAAGTCAATAGTAGAGAAGCAGAGGAAAGTGAGGCAAGAGCAGCGATGAGATTATATAGAGCTTACGCTGAGGTACTCTTAGTCTGGAGGCGCATGCAGGCTCGACAATAAGGAGGCTGACAATCGAAGTGAACGCATTGTCCCCTGACTCCTTTCGCGCTGCCTATGTCCGTGTGACCAATTTTCAGCACGTAGGGGCAGTCTACCGGCAGTGGTGGCCAGTGAATAAGGCGCTGTCCGGGTCCATGACAATGCGCGAGTCTTCTTCACTCACGAGGCCTGCCGCACTAGAAGCTCGAAAGTGTTCAATAGGGGGGCCGTGAAGCAACTGTGACGGGCGGCCTTGATAGAGACGACTGGAGAGGTTCGTCGAGTGACATTGTATGCAGCAATGCAGCTCCCATCGTGATATTGGGGTCATTCTCGTCTCTCTTCCCTATTGTCTTCCCTCTCTTCTTGCCTCTCTTCCTCGTACGCTCCCGCCCACCGCTTCTTGGTCCCCTCACCAACTCGCCTTCTTCACTCCCGGTATCCTCCCAGCCAGCGCATTCATTCGGAATTGAAACTGTCCTCGCTGTCAGCACTGCGATTCACTCCCCGACATCTCTCCATCTATCCTCGTGCCTCGACACGCGGTGTAACCAACATACCCTCGCCATCCTAAAGTCCTGCAGCACACCTCTTCCCTTGCCGCCCATGACACAGCGGTTTTTGATCTGCGTGGAGCGGGTGTAGCAATGCATCTGCGTCAACTGCAGCTGTGCCTGGACTCGTGTGCGAGACGGCAAGGAGGTGTTGCGGATGATGTATCGCAGGGCTTGTCGCTCGGGCTCGTTCTGTTCGAAGACTTTGCGCTTGGTGTGGTCGCGGATGATTTTGTTGTTGATGAAGCAGCCGATGTCCAGCTTCGCGGGGCGGAAGGGCGCGAATTTGGTCATGATGGAGGATGATGGAGAGATAGGATTGGGTACATGTAGGTATGGGGAGAATGTTCTGATGGTCCAGAACTTGAAGGTGTATGCATGCTGCTCGGGGACGTCAATGCGAGAGCGGCCCGAGTGATGTCAACACTTTCATCTCCATCTCTCCTTCATCACTCTCACTCTCTCTCTCTCTCTATCTCTCCCTCTCTCTATACCTGACCCATACCAGCCCATCACACACTACCTGTATCCCTCGAGAACATCCTCAACCTCCACTATGCACCATGGGAGCCGTCTTCGCGCCCGCGGACATCGAAAAGCTGATTCATCATTTCCCTCCTCTGTCCGTTTCTGCTGATGATGGCCGGCCTCCCGTCGTCCGAAGCCTTTCTCAAAACAATTTGAAGCACTCGGCAGAAGTCCTCCATTCCTTCAAGGCTCTGGTCGAGAGAAATAACCAGCGCATCCTGCAGTCCAGCGTGACGACGATTCTGGGCATTGAAGAGGGCAGCGAGAGCATCATTTTCGACCAGCTCGATTCGCAGCTGTACTATAGTGCGGACAGTCGCTACATCATCCCACACCCCCTGATTGAGAGTATCGCTGCAGTGCTGAGGGATCGCGCGTTGAGAGTGGCTGTAGATCTGCATGCGTTCACTCGCGAGCAGGATGTTCGACGTGATAGCTTGGATCGCTTGATCGAGGAGTACTCGGGCAAAGACTGGCCCCGTGTCATTATTGATGTGGATGCTACCTCCTATCTCTGCAGTCATGCATACTCTGAAAACGTCAGGACGCAAGTCCATAATGCCACTTCCGGTGCGGGTCTGGAGATATGTAACCTGTCCGCACTCCTCGATCACGCTATACCGCCCCCTGTCGTGGCAGCTCTTGCAACAGAAGCCACTTCTGGAAAAGGCGGCGAAGTCCAGTTCTCTGGTGAACAGGTCATTTACGTGCCGCCAGGCTACAATGATGCGACTGCGAAGCGGAGCGAGGAGCAACGCGCCGCGCAATCAGCGATCCTGATGGAACGCCTGGAACATGATGGCTTTTGCACACTCAGTGAGTCGGCCGACGAGTTGATTGACGTGCCCACGGTAGTTCCTGCGTGGGACGCTCAGATTATAGCAGAGTTTGAGAGGAAACAGCCCCATTGTCTACGACCGCACAGCATCGACGTCCACCCAGGAGTGGAGGCGACCGGTCGCGGGATCCCACCGCCCCTGTGTAGAAAGCTGATAGTCAGGCCCGAAACACTCCAGGACGAGCTGGACAGCATGAAGCTGGCAGTGGGCACTCGAGCGGGCATTCTGTGGCGCACTGCTCCCTCTGCAGCCACGCCAGCCACGATCGTACGTAGTCTACAGCAATCCGATTTCGAGACACCGCATGCAGAGGAACTCGCAGATCTACTGATCAGGAGCGTGTACGCTCAAGAGCTGGAAGCGACAGCGCTCAGCTGCCTGTCGGAACTCGAAAGCCAGCGCCACGATGATTTTGTCCGAGTGATCGAAACACGCCTCTGGTCTCCACTCCACTGCTATGCTGCCGGAGTGTTGGAAGTGCAAGATACGACATTGAAACAGCACCTCGAAGACTTCCTGACCATCCACTTCAAATCAGATGCGATACCCAGTACCATTGCCATCATACGGGATCAGGGCTTTCTCCACGACCGAACACGCAAGAAAGAAAGCGAGAAGCTCCAAAAAGCCACAGAGGAAGCCAAGGCCTTTTCCGACATTCAAAAGTGCATTACGAAATTCTGCCACAAGCTGAAAGTTTCTCCCCCCAGCGAATCGCAGATTTTCGCCTCCAAGTCACTCACTGTTCAAGCCACGTGCAAAGCCATGTCCAAACTGCAACGCGGCTCCGACGTCCTGCAAAACCTCATATGGATCTTGCTGGCGACCAATGGACCGGGGCTGTTTATGAGTTCGGGCAAGGATACGAGCCGCATGATCAAGCACTTCGAGGCAGTGTGTGAGGATGCAGAGGTTGCGGGCATGTTAGCAATCTGGAGGGACAAGTTGAAGCAAGGCCTGGCAGATGAGGAGGATGTGAGGCAGATGAGGGAGTTGGCCAAAGCGGCCGTGGAAGAGTATGGACAGGGGGAGAAGATGATGGCCTATGCGGGGACATGATTTTGCCGGTCGAGTGGCGTCTTTGGAAGAAGGAAAAAAAAAAGGAATGTGGCACAGGCGGCGTTTGGACGATCAGTGTCGCTGCCATGGGAACGAAATCGCACTCGATTTCATTGATCTCAAGACCGTTTTAAAAATCTACAAGAAGCCACTTCCAATCACAAAGCTCGCATCGTTGTTAAAGGCGGTGGCAGTGTCGTAATCCAGCGGACCACCATTGCGCGCGATATAGCCCGCATTGTGATAGTGGCGGAAGAAGCGTGTCGGGTAGCCCCAGGCACGAATGGTATTGCCCTGGCCATTCAAGCCGGCCTGTCCACAGAAGGTGGCGTCCTCGTGGAACAGCTTGCTGTTATCGTTCGCGGCCAAGGTCAAAAGGAACTTGGAATGCCGAATGAAGCTTCCCGGGGTATCGACGGATTCAAACGACACGCAACCCGTCGCAGTCGATGCCAGAGGGGACCGAACAACGAATTTGGCGGCGTTCTGGACTGAAGACGCAGAAGAGGATGTGATGACTTGAGTGTTGATTGTGGTCCCGCTGTGGGCGAGAAAGCGGGTGTCGTAGCCGGGAGTGGTGGCACGAAGGGTGATGGTGTTGCCAATCTTGATGGCGGGACCACTCGCCAGCGAGGTCGTCGCGTACTTGGCCGCGACGATGTTGGCCTGGACAGACTTTTCCGTGGCATCGGTGGGAAAGGCAGAGGTCATGACGCCCTCGTAAAAGGTTCCTTGCGCGCCGTTACTGTTGTCGCCACCGATGCCGAGGAGAATGGCGCCTTCTTTGCTCATCGGGTTGTACCCATCGGCATTGGGTCGGACGCCGTTGTAGTAGGTGGAGAGGCTCCCCGAAGCGGCATTACCGCCTCGTAGAGCCCAGTTGTTGGGCTGGCCCTTGACGATGGCGGTGAAGAAGCGGTCGGTGATGGTGGGATCGTTGGTGTTTTGTTTGACGTTGACACCGGAGAAGAGGCCGTTTTCCAGATCGGCCATCAGCCACGGTCCGTTTCCCGCGCCCGTGCCCCAGATGGTGTTGGTGCCGTAGTAAATGGCTTCCATGTGGCCATTGCCCGTGTCCAGATTGTTCGTCTCGGCGTTGCCTGCAGAGGAGGAATCATTCATCATCAGTCACCCGTATCTGCATTGTGATGAGGGAAAAGGGAACAACTTGAATGTGGGTTCATACCGTAGTCAAAGCAGCAGGCATCATTGTAGTGAGTACCATCGAGGACGGCGTACATGCCCTCGGAGCCATCGCCAGTCGCGGTGCCACTGGGATTGTTGATACGGTAGCCGCTGCCCGGGTGAATGAAGACGCCGTACGCCTTCTTCCCGTTCAGCGTCACGGGCGCGCCAATTGCGCTGGCATATTGGTCGTAGCCGTTGGCTTCAGTGCCACTCGCAGCGCCACCGGGAGGAGCCTGGGTCAAGTGGTTCGCCCGCCCGCTCTGGTCGTAGATGATGGTGATGAGGCAGGTAGTGCTGGTGCAAAAGGTGTCTTGGGTGGCAGCGTTGGCGACACTGCCGGCCGAGACAGGAGTGATGTCGGTAGTTTTTCCATCCGAAGCACGTGAGATTTGGTACAGAGGGCCCTTGTATGCATCGTAGAGAGCACGTGTGGTGCTGTGTGCTGCCACCTATACGACGAGATTGATCATCAGCAAGAGAAGGAGTCAGTCAGTCAGCTGAGTACCTAGGTAGTAGACGAGGACAGTGACGGGATGAGGCATGGCATACACAAGGCGTATTCCCCGAGGCGTAAATGTCGCATGGACCGGCGTGGACGAGAGCGCTGGCCGCCAGCAGGCTGAAGGCCAGTGGTGGAAGTCGTGGTCGTGATGGGGATAGCATGGTTCAATATGGGAAGCCGAGTGAATGATCTGGAATACTGGGGTGCTGCTCATCAGTCTATTTATTGTCACTCCGCGCTCGATCCTCTCCTGTGGGCTAAGGTGCTTTCAGGTGGAGTGTGGTTATTGTGGTTGTTGTGGCGGCGGATAATCTGATAGACAATTAATGCCGCCGTCTCCCTCCTCTGTTCAAGCAGCAGGCCAGCAAAGCCATGCATTGCTTGCTGTACTCTAAGCATTGGAACAAGAAATGATAAGATTGCGGGGCCCTCTGGCTTCTCGTGGTCCTGTTGGAGGAACAATGTCGATCTCCCGCCGTCTCTCGCCTACTGTATAGTCAGTAGCTTCTAGCGTCCACGAGCGTGTATGCTCTCGTCGTCTCGTGGACAACAGAGAGAGTATAGCAGTGGTGGCGGGTGAATCCCTTTCCACGAATGAATATGCTTAAGTTTTGACTATGCCCACGTCCAGCCCAGCCCAGCGGTGCAACCGGAAAGGCTGTTTTTTTTCCATCATCGGTATTTCTGGTTACTTGATGTGGTGGGAGCGGCCACTTTACAGTCTACCTAGCCAGTCAGCCAGGCCGCCAGTTAGCTAGGCCGCCGTGTCTTCGGTATATTCACCACTAGGCTGAGCAACTTTGGGACGACCGGGAGGAAGTGAATTGAAGTCGTGGCAGCCATAAGGTACTGTGACCCGATACTACTGTGGTGATAGTGTGATGATAATGTGGTGATGATCGGGGAATCGGGATGAGAGGAAGAAGAGGAAGAATACCTTAAGCCGCCAAGACCGATGCCCAGTTCCTTCGTCTCGCTTTCCACCTGCTTGCTCGAGCAACACTTGCCGAGACCCGACGACCCGACTATATCCGATCTCCGGCGCATCATCGGGGCCGGGCCGGGCACGTGGCCAAACCTGAAAGTCGGTCCTCCATCGGCGACCGCCGCTCCGACACTTTTCATGTGGCAGACGGGAGCTATCGGATCCTTGGCAGCCATGCGAGCCGCTAGGAGATAGGTATGGTGTATGTAGATAAGGTACCTAGCAAAAGGGGGGGGGGAATGGTTTCGGCGAAATGCGCAAAAAGGAAAATACTTCATATCTCCTACCTACAACTCCAGTCTTACGGCTCGAAGGGTCTAGAACACTTCTAGAATTCCTGCATCGTATACATTTCCATGTCGATTTTCAGCCTCACCTTCAGGTAGCATCCTTTCCACCTCCTACATGTCCCATTTCCACGGGAGGTGGGCAGGTATTTTACCTGGACGCCAAGACTCTCGCGCCACCGACAACCAAACAATTCACTCCATACCTTACCTTATTCGTCCCGACAACGAGGACCAACTTCTTCCGCTATTCATCACGACACTACATGTATTGTAGGGCAGGGCAGGGCAGCTACACAGTCAGACTCGTACAATATCTGTTGTCAGATGGTATAAGACAAAGTCCGGTCCGAATGGCATCGTGTCGCACACTGGACAGAATTCCCTTCCTGGCTTGCACGCCGAACTCAGGCGCTGCCAAGGGCCAAGGAATGCTTGAATGCTGAATTATGTCGTGTTCATTCGCCAGAGATATCGCGTGGCACGAGGCGTACCACCGAGCACACTCGCTGAACGGAACTAATAGTGACTCTCAAGTCTCGCAGTCACTCAGTAGGAAAAATATAATAATCCAGTCATGTCCGCCCGGAACCTCTCGCCTGCAGCGTAGCAATCTTTATTGTTGTTGATGTTGCTGTTGTTAATATCATTATAGTTGACGACAACATGGGCTACTCCAGCTGGGTCCGCAATACCAACGCGGCCGTCGCCAAGACTGCCATGGGCAAATACTTCAGACTGGAGGGCAGCGGCCACGTACGTGACAATCTCCATCAATCATCATCCGCATGAGGGAAAAAGAGAAAAAAGAAAAAAAAAAAAAAAAAAAAAAAAAAAAAAAAAAAAAGAAAAAAGGG